CTTGCCTGCACCTGCGGCAGGATCGGCCTCTCGGCGCCCAGTCGCTGAGTGCCCCTGGCTCTCTCTAGCCGCGCGCTGGGCTCAGGGCCCCGGCTGGCCCAGGCGTGGGGGGAGCCGGCTCGGCTGGGCCTCGGGGGCGGGGGGCTCGGAGGAGCCTTGGCAGGGGCGGCGCGCTGCCCCGCAGTCCCCGAAAGGAAGTGGCGGCAGCCAAGCTCTTCCGGGACCCAGTGCAAAAGCGCCTGAGCTTTGGGTGCCCCCTCACTTTTCCAGGCAGGGTGAGGGCCACAGAAGGCATGGGCATGCGCGCGAGTGCGCATGCGCAGGGGGCACGGAGCAGGCGGCCGAGCTGCCAGTGACGGGGTCTGCGGTGGGTTGGCTGGGCCGTGGGATGGGGGGGGCTCATCCGGGAAGCCCCCGGGACCAGCAAAGCCGTGCTTGGCGCTGCTGCGCCCGCACGGCAGCCACACGACGGCAGGGCCCCCCTCCGGGACCGGGCCGCAGATCCCCCACCCACCTGCCTTCCCCCAGCGCGGCAGCATGCGGGCTGCTGCTGCCCCCCAGCGGCGGCGGCTGGAAAATGCGAGAGCAGGACGAGCCGGCCGACCAGGCTGGGGCGCTCCTGGCCGGGAGGGGGCTGCGGTGGGAGGGGGTCCACCTGTGGAATCGCCCCGGCCACCTGCTGCCCGGCAGGTGCGAGGCCTCGGCGGCTGCACCGCACCAGCTCCTCCCGCAAGCCCGGGAGTTCTGCCCCCAGGCGCTGGCGCCTCCTTCCCAGAGCCGCAGGTTTCGGGGCTGTGGGGGACGTGTCCTGGGGGGCAGGCAGGGGCGCGCCGGGCAGTCGTCCCCACACTCAGCCGCGGCCGCTGGCCTTCCTGGCTTCCGGACGCACCCTGGCCACCTCTCTTCCGCTTCCCTGGCCCCGGCGAGGGCCTCAGGGGCACCTGTGGGGCCGCGGACAGCCTTCCCCCCAGCCGGAACGAGGCGTGTCTTCATGGCCCTTCGATGTGGGGCCCACCCGGACACTGCACCCCATCTGCGCCCCCTTCCGGGGCACGCCTTCCCGATCCCTCCCGCCACCATGGCTGCCCGAGTGGCCGGCCGGGGCCTGGGGGACTGCGGGAGCCGGCCGGGCTGGGCCAGGGGGGCTGAGCACGAGCTGCCGCGGCCACCATCCGGGCCCCTCGCCCCACTGCGCTCTCTGCGGCCGCCTGACCCCTGCCCTCCCTCCACAGACGGTGTATGACGAGTGGTTCATCACCTTGTACAACATGATGTACACCTCCCTGCCCGTGCTGGCCATGAGCCTCTTCGACCAGGTACGGGGTGTCGGCGGGCTGGAGGGGGCGCCTGGTGGGGCGGCCCCGCCGTGCCCCCTCAGCCAGCAGCCCCCTCTGCCGGCAGGACGTGGACGACCGCTGGAGCCTGCAGTTCCCGCAGCTGTACGTGCCCGGCCAGCAGAACCGCCACTTCAACCGGCGGGCGTTCCTGGCCTGCCTGCTGCACAGCGTCTACAGCTCCCTGGTGCTCTTCTTCGTGCCCTACGGGGCCGTCTCCGACAGCGCGCGCAGCGACGGGAGGGCCATCGCGGACTACCAGTCCTTCGCCCTCACGGCCCAGACCTGCCTGCTCGTTGTGGTCTCCGTCCAGGTAACGGGGCCCCAGCGCCACCCAGCGCGGCCGCCAGGGGCCCTGAGCCTGCGGGGGGAGCGCCTGGACCCCCCCGCCCCCCGTGCGCCTGGGCCAGTCTGCCCCTGGCCCTCTCGCGCACCTCAATCCGGAGTAGGGCGGGTTGGCCTGGCAGCCGGGGAGAGCCGGGTGGGCTCCTACCGTTTGCTGCGCGGGTCTCAGGCGGCCGCGAAGGGCCCGGTCTGCGCCGTGCGACCTGCCGCTGCTCGCAGGGGCCCGAAGGACAGGCCCTGCTGCCCTGCGGGTGCCCCCCAGGCCAGGTTCCCGGGAGGCCAAGCGGAGGGTGCCGAGGGCGGCGGGGACCCACGGGGGAGCCGCGCTCCGAGAGGGACAGAGCCCCCGGCGTTGCGAGCCAAGCGACAGAGAGGGTTCTGTGGGGCACACGGGCCCCCTGACTGGCCGCCCCCTCACAGATTGGCCTGGACACGGCCTACTGGACCGCCGTGAACCAGCTGTTCGTCTGGGGCAGCCTGGCCACCTACTTCGTCATCACCTTCGCCATGTACAGTGACAGCACCTACCGGATCCTCACCACAGCCTTCCCTTTCGTCGGTAGGTATTTGGGGCACGATCGGGGGGGGGGGGGGTCTCAAATACCTGCACATCCCGAAAGGAGCCGCAAATTAGACAGAATTCTGCCACCCTTTCGGGGGAGGTGATGCCCCCCAAGCACCGCCGCTGGGGGGAGAGCCCTCCTGCAGGCGGCACTGTCTCTGCCCTTTGCCAGGCGCGGCGCGGAACACCCTGAACCAGCTCAGCATGTGGCTGTCCGTGGCCCTCTGCGTGGCCCTCTGCGTGCTGCCCATCGTCGGCCTCCGGTTCCTGAAGACGCAGCTCGCGCCCACCCTCAGCGACAAGGTACCCCCACGCAGGTCTGGGGGCGTCGTGTCGGCTGCCCCTGTGCCCCGGGAGGGGGGCCAAGCGCAGGGTGCGGGGCGCCAGAGCAGGACGAAGCCGCTGCGTGTGGGGCGTGCGTGGGCCCCATGCTCCGCTGCCCCGGCCCCCCAGCCCCCCACACTTCCAGCCGGAAATGGCTGTCCGCAGGGCGGGCTGGGGCCCCCGCTCCGGGGCAGAATCTCTCGGAGGGCGGCCAGGATCGCTCCCTGGCGGGGGAAGCGGGGCAGGGCTGGTGCTCGGCCAGGGAACAGGCGTGCTGTGAGACTGGGGCGGCCACGCCGCGGGTGTGGGGCTCGGCTCAAGGGGCCCCTCGGCCAGGAGCCCATGGCTGCCTCTGGCCCAAGCAGCCGCCCCATCTTCTCCCGCCCGTGCCCGTGCTGCCACGCAGCTTGGCCACCAGCCAGAGCTCCTTTCGGGTGCTGCCCAGCTCCAAGCCGGCCCCAAAGGCCGCCCCGCCCGATGGAGGGTGGTGTGGGGGGCGCCCTCCGCCTCCTCTCCGGGTCTTGGCTGAGCGAGCTCCCAGCGCACCTCACTGGGGGACCCAGAGAGGCCACCGGGGGGGGCAGCACGGGCGGCCCCGCACTCCTCAGCCGGCCCCCCTGCCCAACAGGAAGGCGGTCCTTGTTCTTATGCTCCCCCGAGTTCCCCGGCCTTGGCAGCTCTTGCACTCTCCCGGCTGCGGCTCCCGTCACGGACTCTGTCCGTCTCGTCCCTGGTCTTCCCGTTCTGTTTTCTGCCTTTGCCTTTCCCTACTGAGGTCATGGAATCCTAAAATAGGAGAGCTGGAAGGGGCCAGGAAGGCCCTCGGGTCCACCCCCCTGCTGTTGCAGGACCCCAAGCCACACCACCCCACTCAGGTGGCTGCCCAATTCCACCTTGAATGTCCCCAGTGTGGGAGAGCCCCCCACCTCTCCAGGCAGCTGGTCCCACCGCCATGTTGCTCTGACAGCAAGGAAGTTTTTCCTGATGCCCAGCCTGAATCCGGGGTGTCGCAACCTGAATTGATTATTCTGTGTCTTGCACTCTGGGATCAGCAGCAGGAGATCTTGGCCTTTCTCTTTGTGAGAATCTCAGGTAGAGGGACACCGTGTCCCCCTCAGCCTTCTCTGCTCCAGGCTGAGCATGCCCCGTTCTCTCTGCCTCTCCTCGCAGGGCCTTGTTTCCAAGCCCTGGGTCATTTTTGCTGCCCTCCTCTGGACCCGTTCTCATTTTCTTGCATCTTTCTTACACCTTGGTGCCCAGGACCAGACACAGGACTCCAGATGAGGTCTGGCGAGTGAGGAGTAGAGGGGAACTACTTCTCCTGATTTGGAAGTAAATGGTACAGACTAACCGGTCTGTAGTTCCCAGGCTTGCCTTTTGCCCTTTTTTGAAGATGGGGACGATCTCGCCCGTTTGGCACTTTTCCTGCCATCTCAGGGTGTGCCCAAAGTTGGGCGGGCTCAGCTCGGCCTTTGCTCCTCCCGGAGGCTGTTCTGGCTTGATCTGGCCCGGGACCCCGCGTGCCCCTTCCTGCTGGCCCAGGGCGCCTGCAAAGCCCTCGCCCGCACCGTGGCCCGAACCCGAACGCGTCTGTCTCCTCTCCCTCCTTCCCTGTCTGGCTCTCACACCGTCCGGTGGCTGGGAACGCGGCAGGCTGGGCGCCTGGCCTTGGCCTCCCCAAGGCAGCATTTCCGATAGCCTGCTCTCTTTCAGCAACAATGCGCAAACTGTGAGAAAGCTGCTCCAGGGACATAGCGAAAGGGCTGGGCAGGAGAGGCCGTGCCCAGTTCCAGGAGGGGAACCTCGGCCGCCGGCAGCGGCCGAGAGGCGCAGGGAGCGGGGCGTGGGGACGTTGCCGCATGGAGGGAGCCGCCCCCTGCACGCTGAGCGCCTCCCGCGGCAGCCGGGGGGCCGTGCCTGCTGGCCTCCGGAGACCGGGAGAGGCTCCGGGCCGAGGCCAGGCGCCGCTCGGCCCCCGCCCCGCCGCTCATCTCCGCCCCCCTCTGTTGCAGGTCCGGCACAAGGTGCACGCGGCCCGGAGGGTGCCCCCGCCACCCTCCCCCAAGCAGCTGCAGCTGCAGCGCCGAGCCTCCCGCCGCTCCGGCTACGCCTTCTCCCACCAGCACGGCTTCGGGGCGCTCATCACCTCAGGGCGGAACATGCGGCCCAAGTCCCCTTTCGCCGCGTCGGGGTCTTTCTCGCCCAGCAGTGAGAAATACACGCCCAAGTGACGAGGGACCGAGGGACGGACGGACGGATGGACAGACGGCGGTGGGGGCGGCTGGAGAAGCTTCGCTTGCCACTGGGCCCGCTGCACCTGGAGAGTTTCAGCCTGGGGCGCCCGGACCTGGGGGAGGAGGGCTGGACCTGCGGTCCACATTTGGCCGGGGAGGGCCTCTCCTCAAGTACCCCCTCCGCTCGGCTCCCCTGCCCTCACCCCCACCCTGGCACGGCACGGCACGGCAGAGGGACGTGGCAGGGCCGCGCTCATGCCCTTCCCCAGCCCAGGGGCCCTGTGGTGAGGGCGGTGAGCCAGGCCTGCCCGCTGCGGTCGGCCCAAGTGGGGCAGCCTCCGTGACGCCGAGGAAGGTGGGGCAAGGCTGGGCAGAGGGGCCTTCCCCAGGGAGCCCCGGGCGCTCTGCTGCAGCTCGGGAGGACGCCTGGAGACGGCGCGGCACAAGCTCAGCAAGGCTGGAGCACTGGGACAGAAAACTGACCGGCGGCCATCCCGAGCAGTGCCTTGCGCCGACCCGCACGGCTTCCGTCCGTCGTCCTTTCTGCAGCCGCTTCAATAAACGGCCCGGGAAGGCACAGGGCTGCGGCCCCTCTGTGCGCGAACCGCCTGTCGCCCCCAGCGGCGCCTGCGCAGAACACGGGGCAAGGGCGGCCCCGGGAGCAAGGGGCGGGCGGGCGCACCGGGACGGCCCAAGTGCCAGGCCTCTGCCCGCCGGAGGGAGGGGGCCGGTGGCCCCTGAGCCCGGAGGAGCAGAGGCTGCCTGCCCTGCCCCAGGAAGCGTCTGTCTGGGGGCACGGGATGGGCCCTATGGGGCGGGTGGGGCTGAGCTGATCGCTGTGCCAGCACTGCCAGCTGTGGGAAGGGGCACGGGGTTTGAGGCAGGCACGGGGTGCAGTCCACGGCTCCGGCCCCAGGGAAAACGGTCCGCGGTGGCATGGGGTGCAGCTCGAGGTGGCTGCCACGCTCCAGCTCGAGGTGGGCAAGCTCGCTGCCCCCTGCCTGCTCCCGGGGCAGAGCTGCCCCCTCCCAAACCGGCTTGCCAAGGATCTCCTCCGCTTTTCCTCGGCCTTTGGGCGCAGGTGCAGGAGCGGGGAGCAGTGCCGGCACCTGGCGGAGAGCCGCAAGGGTGAGGGTTAGGCAGAATAAAAGGTGTCGCCCCCATTGCACAGTGTTTCAAGAGGAAAAGTAATTGCAGGCCTATAGGGCTCGCACTTGCATAACGGGAAAGGCCCCCTTCCTTTGCAGCAGCGTCGCTGGCAGCTCCTCCCAAGGAGACTGCGGATCTGGGAGCCGCGTGTGCCTGTAAAAGCAGGAGCACGTCCAGCCCATCTGGCACAGGCCACGGACCTTCCGCATTCTGGGGGCCCGGACCCTGCCCCGAGGATGACGGTGGCGCCGCTGGGCAGTTTGGCCTTGATGAAAGGGGCCGTGCGAGCTGAGGGCTCGCTCCCCGCCTAGCCTCTCCGTTGTGTTCCCCATCAACCGGCCACGGGAGCGAGTCCTGGCGTCTCCAAGGAACGCGGGCTCCCGAGCTCAGAGCGAAGACCCGTCTCTGCACGAAGGCGGAGGACGGCAGGTGGGGTGCCGCTCTGGAGATCCGGGGGACGTGTCCACGTGGGCAGACCACCGCCCAGCCTCGCAGCCCAGGTGGCGTGCGCTTGAGTTGGCTCCTGGAGCCGCCCATTCCCCAAGCCCAGCTCTTCAAGCACGGGGGTGCGGGGTGTTCCTCAGCCGTGGTCCTCTGCATTTTGGTCTGCTGGGGGGTCCCCATTTCCGAATGCTGCTCCATGTTACTAATGCAAGTGGTGGGAATGCGGCGTCCACTGCCAAAGGCCAGGCAGGCCCGCAGTGTGGCTGGTCCTCCGCCTGCACCTCGAGGGCGAGCGGGCCCGGGGCCCAGGGCCAGCCTTGCCTTCTGGGCTCAGCCTTCCAGCGCCCCCGCGAGCGGGGCCTGGAGCTGACCCGCAGCCCCACTGCTGGCCCAACGGGGTCCTGCCGGCCGGGCAGTGGCACCGGAGCGCTGCAGCGAAGAGAGGGGCGATGCCCGGGGCCCTCCCACGGTGACAGCCGTGCCTCTTGCCTGGGGCGAGGTGGCCGCTTCTGGGTAGCCTCGCTCTGCTCTGCTGCATCTTTTCCGTTGTGGTTTTAACTTCCTTCGCGGAGACGCACTGCCTCTTACTCGGGTGGTTATTGTTTAGCCGTAGGCCATCACAATTTTGGAAATACTGTTACAGATACCTTATAATAAAATTCATAACAGAATCATTAAAGCATATACCAATTAAGTTCTAATAATCAAAACAATGCAAGTAAAACACAGGTCAAATAAAACGAGCCTTGGCCATAAAAACCACTGGAAACCCACACTGGCTTGCAACACTCGGGAGCACGGCAAACGCCCAGAGGGCAAGTCACACCGGGCAGCGGACGGGCACTGGCGGGCCGCATTTTGTGGCGGTCCTGTACGTGCCAAACCAGAGAAGAGCAGCCCCGGAAGGGGCCAGGGGGCCGCCGGGCCCACCCCTGCTCAGGGCAGCACGCAGTTACACCGCCCCAAGGTGGGCAAGCTGAAGGGCAGGATGGCAGCCCCAGAGAGCCTCCAGCTATGGGGCAGCAGGCAGATAGGATACATTGTACGGTCGACAGGCAAATGGTCAACGATCTGATTGGGCTCTGCATGAGTTCAGATCCCCAGGCCCTGACGAACTTCAGCCCAGAGTCACAAAAGAACTAGCAGAAGAAGCTTCCGGACCAGTAGCTATCATCTTTGAGAACTCGTGGAAGACAGAAGTGTTGGAGACGGAAGTGTTGGATGACTGGAGAAGGGCTAATGTCCCTTCCTACAAGAAAGGAAAAAAAGATGAACCGGGGACCTGTGGACCACTTTGGCAGCAATCCCTGGAAAAATTCTGGAGCAAATTCTAAAACAAACAGTCTGCACACACCTTGAGGACACAGTAATTACTAGCAATCTGGATTTCTCAAGAGCAGATCTTGCCAGACTAATCGAATTTCATTTTTTGACTGGGTAACCTCCCCGGTGGATGGTGGGAGTGCTGTGGAAATCATCTGCCTAGACTTCAGCCAGGCCTTTGTCGAAGTGCCCCACGGCTCCCCGATCAGCGAACTAACAGAAAGTGGGCTGGAGCAGGCAGCCAGTCAGCGGATCCGCAGTCGCTGCCACATGGGACTCGCCCGCCGGCGGCGCTGCAGAGGAGCGGCAAGTGGGTGCAGCAAGCTGCAGTTCCGGGACGGGACATACTCGTCCTTATTTTCACTAATTATTTAGATGAGGAAGTACAAGGAGGAATAATTAAATTTGCAGATGACAACACTGGGTGGAATAGCAAATACCCTGGATTACAGAGGTAAGAGACGGGACGATCCTGTTAGGTGAGAGCACTGGGCAGAGAACAACAGAATGAAATTCAGCAGGAAGAAATGCCGAGTCCCCGCTTCGGAACAGGACACCGAATGCGCCGCCAAGAAGGTGGGGGACACCTGGCTCGACGAGGCTGCAGGCGAGAAGGCTCTCGGAACTGCTGTGGGTCACAAGCCGAAGATGAGCCAGTAACACGATGCAGCCACAAAAAGGGCAAAGGCTATTTTGGGCTGCATTAACAAATGTCGCTTCCAAGCCGCGTGGAGTACAAGTTCCCCTCTGCCCAGAGCTGGTCAGGCCTCGCCTGGAGTCCCAGTGCCCAGTTCTGGGCACTTGCGTTTGTAAAAAAATGCTGAAAAGCTCGAAAAGGTTCAAAGGAGGGCAACACAGATGAGGCTGGAGGCAAAACCCTAAGGGGAAAGATGGAGAACTGGGCATGTTCAGCCTCGAGAAGAGAAGACTGAGGGGGCAGGGTAGCGTCTGTAAGTATCTGAAAGGCTGTCACAAAAAGGAAGGATGAGATCCCCACTAATTCTGTAGGACAAGGGACAAGGGACTTGAGTTAAAAGCAGTCAGATTCAGACTAGACACCAGGAAGAATTTCTGCACTGCCAGAGCAATATGGTTACCTGGAGAGGTGGGGGGCTCTCGAAAAGCACCTGGGCAGCCCCCTGAGTGGGGTGGGGGGAGCTGGTGTCCTGCTGCAGCAGGGCCTGCGCTTGGCGGCCTTCCGCCCGACGCTTCTCAGAAGGAGAAGTCGCGGAGGCCGCTTCTGTTGTCTCCTGCCCATTTTCCTTGCTGGAATCGTTTGCCAGCCTCTTGAACTCCTCATTGGAGTCACTTACCACGGACCTTCGCTCATCATTGTTCTGAGGTCATTGAAATAGGCTTTCCTGAAAGCCAGAATGCATATTTGGCTTCTGCTTCCTTTAGAACCCCGAGTTCTAGTATGCGATGGTCACTTTCCCCCAGCATTTCCTTAGCTGCCACTTTGTCCACGAGGTCTTCCTTCTTGGTTAGTATCAAGTCTCGCATAGCTCCTCCTCATGTTCCTTCCTCTACTTTCTGTTAGAGGAAGTTTTCAGCAACGCAAGTTTGGAGTTTCTTGGAGGGGCTGCGTTTGGCAGAATTTGTCTCCCGACCGATATCAGGGAAATTGAAGTCCCCCGTAACGACTACCTCATGGCTCCTTGAAACACTGGCGATTCGCTTTTCACAAGTTTCATCTTCATCTTCTCCTTGACTGGTTGGTCAGTAACAGAGTCTAACCACTGAGCTCCTTTTATTCCTGCTCCACTTATATTAGTCCAGATCCTCTTGATGGAGCCTCTAAGCTCATCCTCCCGTATTTCTGCGCAGAGATATGGATGTCTAAACAGTGTGACTCTGCCTCCTGCTCTGTTCCTTCTGCTCTTCTTGAACAAGTTACATCCTTCAGCTGCTGAATTCCAGTCCTGGGAGTCATCTCACCAGGTTTCAGTCGTACCTGCCAGCTTGCATTCGACCCCCCCGTGTGAAGAGTTCACACAGCCGTGCCTTTCCGTACTCTGGGCTGTGCCGGCCTGACTGGGCTGTGGGTTTGGGTGAGCCAAGAACTTGGGGTGCTGGGCCAAGGCCTTTTAAAGGAGGCTCCGTTGACAAGGCGAGCAACCGACACGAAAGGAGCGAGCACCTGAAAGGGTCTCGCAAGCGGGTCACTTGCAACGCTCACTCGGCGCAACCTGCCAGCCAAGAGGCCCCAGTCAGCCAAAAAGGTGGCCAGCGAGGCCCTTCCAGGGTGTTTGGGGTCTGAACAACATCAGCACCCAAGGGGAAAAGGCTGGCCTTTGCAGGCTCCTTGTGAGGAGGGGGTTTGTGCTGCACGGGGCAGGGACCAAGTGCCGCGCAACTACCTGTTCACCTCACCAGCAAGCCCCGAAGGCATGTGACATGCAGGCGCCCCTCATTGTATTCTGTGGGGCACAAGGGCTCCCATCCTCGCTAGGCGGCCACCAGTCCTAGCGCTGTGGTGGCGAACTTATGGCACGCGTGCCACAGTGGGCACGCAGAGCCCTCTCTGTCGGCATGTGAGCCCATTCGCCCCGGCATCACCCCAGCAGCCGAGCATCAGGTAACAGCGCACACAGGGGCCATGCGCCTGCTCGGAAAGGAGCAGTGGTGCCAGGCAACGCCATCATGAGCCGCAACTCATTAGCTGCGACTCGCCCGAGCTTTCGCATGGCCGGTCAGTGGCTGCCAAGGATATGTATGTATTTGCTTGGACTGGCTGTGAGTTGTTTTTTCTAAACGAAAACCTCAGTTTTCAGGTTTTATTGCGGTGCTGGCACTTTGCGATAAATAAGTGGGTTTTGGGTTGCAGCTTGGGCACTCAGTCTCTAAAAGGTTCGCCGTCACTGGCCTAGCGCTTGGGGCCTTCAGGGAGAATTCTCCATAAGCTATCAGAACCCTGAGCAGAAGCTCCTGGACTGACCCGACAAGGGGGGATCCCAGGCCAAGCACGGCTACGGGTTTGGTCCCTTGGCCACCTTCCCCAGGGCCTCTGGAAACCAGCACGGGCGGGTGAGGAAGCGGCGTCTCCAGCGCAGTGGTTCTGCGCACGCGGAGGGTCCGGGGCCTCGATGGCAGCCGCGAGGCAGGACCCCCGGGTCCGGCAAGGGAAGCCCCCTTCCGCCTTGGCCCTCGGCAGGTTATTGCAAGAGTACTCAGGCCCCCCTGCAGGGAACCCGCACTTGCAACAGCACTGCCGGGCAGAGGCCAGGCCAAGCACAAGCTTCCAGGACATGTGCAGAGTGTTTTATAGGGTCTGAGTCACATGTCATAGCAACTGGTCAGGTGACGACGAGAGAAAGGGAGCACAGAAGGAATGGGAGAGCTCTGCAGAGGGCCGCCAGCGCTGACCACAGGGGACAGACAAGGGTCCGGAGAGGGGAGCCGCACCGAGTCTTAGCTGCAAGCTTTGATCCTGCAGATTCGGGTGGCCGCAGTGCACCTTGGTCCCCTGCAGCAGCAGCAGCGGGTGGACTGGATGGCCTCCGTGGCCCCTTCCACCGCGACTCTTCTGCATGGTCCAAGGAATGCTGCTCAAAGCACCTTCTCCGGCGCCTGGTCCGCTGCTGCTCTCGGGCCGCGAGTTCCAGGAGCAGCGATGCTAATCGGTAACCAGGCTGGGACGGGAGGGGGCCCGGGTATGATTTTACAACACACGGGCTCATCCGGGCGACCTTTTCCTACCAGGATTCAGTCTGAATTCCCCCGCACAAGCAGGGCCAAACCGTCCTGGAGCGAGAGACCCGGGCCCGATCCTTGCGGCACGGGCCCTGTGTGCGGGCACGGCAGACCACCTGCCTCGCACGCCAGCCGTCTTCCTGCGTTTTTCGGAAGGCAGTCACGGGCCTCTGTCAAAGCTGCTCCCTGTCTTGCGGACAGTTTTAGTTTTGTTTACTTGAGCATGAGCCAGAAGTGCCCCTTGTCTCTGCCAGTGCTGCCAAGGTCCCCAGTCCGGCCCTCGGAGATTCCCGGCCACGCTCCTGTCCCCACCCACCCATCCGGGGGTCTCC